AATGAAACTGGTGGTTGACAAGCAGCAAGAGAGAAATGGTAAGAAGTGGAAATGCACGCACGCACGATGACGTGGCGCTCTTGCGCACATACAAAAGAGGAATCCATACCTAAAAGGGACGAACGAGGACGAGGTGCAAGAGCTCATACTCGATGACCAAGTGTTTCTCTATTTCCCCTCTGACACGAGAAGTCAAGTGGAAGCTGTGAACAACATCGATGGGTCGGATCATCTCATACGAGCTTTGATGGTGAGATGAAAACGGAAGAGGGGAAATCATTATCCGAGACAACGCAGGTGATTTAGTACGTTGTCAGAGAGAAAGATAAGAGATGCATACAGGATTTCACACATGCCAAGACAAGATGCCCGCGGTTGTTTATATTTTCGGAATTCAACTGAACCCGGTGGAGTCAGACAAAGATCGACAATTTGATGTCTGTGAGAAAAGCAGGTTAACGAAACCTTCATTCCAGTCCACTTTTGTCTAACCCGAGGGAGTGCATCACACACAGTACAGCCGTTTCCTCATGATGAACAGGTTTTAGGGTCAAATATTTTCACGGATTACTATGAACGATGATGAACGGGTCGAGCGTGAGACGGAGGTTACAGTCGGACTTAAACAGTGGCTAGGATTCACTGGCGGCCTGAAGCGCACGGCTCAACACTAACGGAGTGAAATCTCATGACATAGGGTACACAATCATCCAAGTGGCTGCGCTGTTATAAATGCGATGCACTGCCAACAAAGAAGAGACGGATTATTTCTGTGTAAAAGACAGAACTGTGACGCGATACCCGTTTCGGGAAACAGTCTGGAATTCGCCGTTGAAATGCGGTTGATTTAGACCGATTCAGTCATATGAGCACTGTACAATGTTCGTATTTTTTCTTAGACCTTTTTGAACAATTTAAAACGACTTTTCAGTAAGCACTTCATTGTAACACACGAGGGTTAAGAAGGATCTGCTGCTCACCGAGGATCACCTAAAACCTAGGACTACAGTGAAGCTGTCTGGCATCAAAGTTGGATGATAGCACGGGGACTGAACCTTGATGATTAGTACTCGGAACATGCTCGTGACAATGGTCCAAACCGCCTGATCGTCACTACACGGAGACAACGATCCTAATTGAAGAACAGTATGAAGTTGATTATTTCCATTACAGTTGCTATCCCTTCCTTTTGGAACGAGTGCGTGAGTTAAAAAAACGTGTTATGCATTACATCACAACCGATAATCAGCGTCAGTTTTAAGTTCAAAGGTAAATTCGTCGTGTATAGAGTAAATGAAGCATGAACTGAAAAGCTAGGAAGCACTGGACAGCTGCTTCGATATGGTTTGGATTCATCAGCTGCCCGGTGGCCGAGTGGGTAGCATGACTGCGTTCTACCTGTGAGATCCCGGGTTCGATCCCCAGGTGGGTTGATGAATTCACGCACTGCTGATGAGACTCAACTAGGTAGAAACAGCTGTCCAGTGCTTCTTAGCTTTTCGGGTTTAATTATCAATTTTCGTATCCGTTCAGTAAAACCGGGTGCAGTGAAATGCGTGACAGATAAACCCAAACAACGAAGCTGTTACACTTCGGTTGGTGGTGAAACGTTTGCAAGTTAATTGTGAAACTTGATGAACAGGTGAAAAATGCAATCAGTTGTTCGTTCCGCGCTAATTTCGGAGACAGCTCTCGGGACGGGTGTAACGCATGTGTCAAGGAATAAAACTAATCGGACCGCTTGCGGTGATTAGGAGCAACTAATCATTCAACTGACGAGCTGGATGGATTTGTCCATGTGACAATATGTAGTTCAACTCGTACTTGGACCGAAATTCCAATCGCGACAAACAAGTTAGGCGAACAGTGCGGAAACGCGCCAAGCGGGTATAGCGTGCACTTTCCGGTCCAATGCTGGGCGGTTACGTTGGTTGTGTGTGATGATGTGTGTGTGAGAGAGAGAGAGAGAGAGAAATTAACACCACAAGGGACGACCGCGATTGTTTACAGTTCTCAACTTCGGTGAACCTGCTCTCTGGAAATCCACCATGCTCTTTTCGATTATCAGTCACATATGCAGCCAGTCGATCAACGGATAGCTTTCACTAGCCATAACTATTATCAGGGAGACATCAGCTTAATTAGTTCCCATGGAGAGAGAGAGAGAGAGAGTTATAGGGACTCGGTGGTCGATGCTGGACTTGAAAAGACAAGGAGTGAAGACGACTGAAAACAAAAAAAGGTTCATGAACCTCTTCAAATATGGTGCTCATCAAACATTTGCTGTTGTATAGCTTTTCCGTCTGACGATTAATCACTGGCGATTAGCAGTTTATATATATATATATATCAGGTAAACGTTTCCATTGTTCCGACTGAAGCAATGAAAAAGCGTGTCTACGCCTAGGCAAATTGGCTTATCAGACCATAATCGGATACATTACGTACGCAACCAGTAATGATCAAATGGGCAAAGGCAATTTTATTTTTCTGATTGAATTCAATCCTAAAGCAGAGGCTAAAAATTTGATTACGGATTAGAAGTGCGCTTGATCTTGATCCAAAAAAACAAAGGAACTAAATGCACATTTATAGGCGCCAGACGAATGAACGATAGGATAAACAAAAGCACGCATCGATCTCCCTTAGGTGTGTGGGACAGCAAACAGGTCGGAAAATATTCTCACCGTTTACACAAATGTTTTGCAACATCTGTGATGCGAAAACCGTCCAAATGAAACAGGCGCTTGGCCAGACGTGATGCAGCGCTACGATCAGCTGCTTTGGGCGGTTGATGATAAATAGACTCGGCGATCGATTCGGTGTCCGATTCGGAATCGGAAACCATGGCCAACAGTTCGCGCAGACGATGATCCTCGTCCAGGTCGGTCGAGCTGCGAAACCCGTTTGTGTTCGGTTTGCACGTGCCACTTTTCTGATCCTCACGGGGCGTGGATCGCACCGTGGCCGGAGAGCGTTCGGGGCTAGGTCCATCGAAGAACAGGCGAGGCACATCACCATTGGGAATCGGGGAATTGTGATCTGATGGGGAATGCAAGTTCTGAAATGAGGAGAGGTTCAAGGGAGAGAAAAATTGCAATTAAATGAGAAACCGACGCTCTAGAAGAACAAAAAGTATCGTAACGTTATCTCCAAGATTTCACCCATGTTGGTAATNGGTAATAAAAATATGGTTCCATGAAAATAGGAATCTTTCGAAACAAATAACGTTAGCGAATGGCATAACTGATTACTCAGTCGAAATAGAGACATGTTATTTCATTTAACTGACCGGAGTGAAATGGGTGGCTGGTTGGAGTAGAGCGTATGAGCCTACAAAAGTTTTTCCTGAGGTACATTCCACTTTCTTCCGTCCCCAACACCCAAATCTCACACTTCGTGTCAATAAGCTGAAGCATTCATCAGTGGTCATACCTTGGTGAGTAGTTCGCTAGGCAGGCCAGAGTAGGTTAAGGGTAATCGAAGCCAAAAAACGTTCACCGAGAAGTCCTGCAACTTAGAAATAAAGTTACTCCCTAGAGGGCGAATGAAATCAGCTGTTCGATCCTAGGTCTGGGAAGGAGAACTGGACAATTTACACGAATGGATAAATACTTAAGTTGAATCCCCATTCACTGAATTGAGTTCTTCGGGAGCCATCGGTTACTGCAGTCATCTTGCAGCACTTGGTTGTGTAAAGGTTGAGGGTGTATCCGCGAAAAAAGCCAAATGATATTGGGGACGACTCTGGCAACAAAATCCCGTGAAAATTCATGAAGCCAGCTCGCATTCAACAAGGAGCCAATCGAAGAAATACTCACATCGTATGCTAGAATCCTCCTAGATAATGATGATCAATGCATCACCGTGAGCGCCCTACACAACCACGGCATTAAAATTGCTTGCATGTCAGAAGTACAATTACACTATACAGGACAGAAACTAATCCAAGTAACCCATATGCTTGCAATCTATTGACTCTACCACAGTGAACCCACTGACCATTCCGGGCTAATGGTGTAGCTTTCTAGCTGAGAAAACAAGTAAAGAACGCGTCTACCGCAATCGGCGTCACCCGCTTCCACAAAGTGCCTCTCAATCATCTTCATCTATGCACCAAACATGTTCACAGAAGAGTCTGTCAAAGACAAGCCTTACCACCAACTGCAAGATGCAGTCACCAGAAACCTCAAACATGATATCCTGATCATCATGAGTGATTAGAATACACACCCCGGACCAAAGGACATACAGCACGTCATAGGAAAACTCGGTACTGGTCGCCGATGTCACAGCGAACAACGCTCAATCACGTTTAGCAACTCCAATCGAACGGTCGTCTCTAGCACACGATTCCAACACTGCAGAAAAACATATTTTAACATGGTACCCTAACGATGGTAGAATAATGCACCAGACCGCCCACATTTTATTACCATTCTGCTAGGTCTCATTTGTTGAACAGTGTCAAGCTGAGATGCTGAGGCTAGCAAGTCGATGGGACGGATCATTCACTAATGCGTGCTCACCGAAAGCCCCATCGAGCAACGCGACATAGGGCGCACTACTCAGAAAAAGATCTGCACCACCAGAGAAAGCACGGGTGTTCTCAAACACTATTGACGTGTATATGACTGAACGGTTTGATGTACGGGTCTGCAGATGCACAATGGAATACTACCAAGACGTTAATCAAAGCAGTTGAGCTGTGACGCATCCGAAGAAGCAACAATTACTACCGTCATAACAACATTGAAATATCCAGTCTTCGGGAGGGGATCGTATACCTTCGATGTCTTCGAATCCTACTGGTCGACGCTAACCGACCGGCTGTATTCACTGGTCTGCTCCCCATAGGATCATTTCTATTCCGCTACCCATCCCTAAAAAGTGGCGACGGAACGGTCTGCAGTAATTATAAGATGATCAGTTTAGTAAATCTACGCGGTGAGTTCATTGGATCGCTGCTTCACATTGATGCCAGAGGTTCTCGCATCTGGTAAAATCAGGTAGAGGTTATGTGAGAGCCTAGGCATTCCCAACTAGCAAAAAGAGAAAGAGGAAGCATTGACTAGATGGGGACAGCGCATTTCCCTGTCAAACACACATATACAAAGCGATCGGTACCTCATTAC